TGCGTGCGTGCATGCGTGCGTGTGCGTGCTCGTGTACATGGATGTTAGTCCAGATGTTTGTATCTCCACAGGAAAATAGAGATGTACGCTGTGTGCGAAAGAGTTTATGTCAATAGATTTAAGAGATTAAATTACTTCAGTCTTTTAATCTTTGCCCTATCTCGGTCTAAACACACAGGAACCCTGGATATCACCGCATAACACAACACACAGCAGGGAGAGAGGGCTGGGGTTGAGCGATAGGCACCAAGAGAGGACTTAGGGAGGTCCACAGAATGAGGTGGAGGACAAGTCAGCAGTCAAAAGGAAAAGGAAAATGGGAAATATTCCTAAAAGTTACCAGTGTCAATATAATAATAATAATAATAAACTTTATTTATAAAGCACACTAAAAAACCAAGGGTATACCAAGGTGCTTGACAAAAATAAAATAGGAAAAGGGAGAAGGGAGGGAAAAGAGAAAGGACCTGGCACGTATCAATTATAAAAACCTTGACAATCATAAGATATAAAAGTAGTTCACAAGCATAACAGATAAAAATGTACCAACGCACACCAAGTGTTAACTAGGTGGAAAGGCACGATAACAAATAAGTCTTCAGCCGTGATTTAAACAGTGGCATAGAGTCAGACGCCCGAATAGCAACAGGAAGGTTGTTACAGCAAACGTGCGGTCACCGCGAGACTTCAGCCGAGAACGAGGTTGCTCCAGAAGAATTTGGGTAGCAGATCTAAGTGCTCTGACAGGAGTGTGTAACCTGAGAAGCTCATTGAGATAGCTCGGCACCAAATTATTAATGGTTTTGTAGGTGAAAAGTAATATTTTAAATTGAATACGGTATTTAATTGGAAGCCAGTGCAAGCCAGCAAGAACAGGAGTGATGGAAGAAAACTTCATATTTTATATTATTTCCTGATATAGAAGTTGTGTGTCTTCATCTGTCTTCTTGGTGTCTTCACATAGTGTAGTTTTGTTTTTTTAAACACAGAAGACTACAATCAGATTTCTGTTCTTACTGCACTCCTGCAGCAAATAAATATAACTGTATTTTTACTTATCACAGTGAAAATGAAAACAAAAGAGAAACTCAAGCAGACACTGTAACTGCATCATATAGATAGGATGCCAAACTATCCAACAAAGGTACAAAAAAAGAGATAACATCCATCCATCTTCAGAAAGACAAAAGAAGAAACATTAAATTCACTAGCTGGGCCCACGTCCTCAATTTAGGTTTGACAGTGTTTATAGTATTACCTACTATAGTACTATAGTATTACCTACTAGGTGAATGCTCGGACATGAATTAAGCTTCGGTTTGGGGACTGCCAACAGCTCCCGGGCCTGGCAGATCCCCGTGTACTAAATAGGAGTGAAGAATTTAAAGAACTGAGAACAAGGAGGGAGGGAGGGTGGGGCACGTAAACGAGAATGAACAGTTTGCAAAACTGGGAAACCTATATAGATGACAACCGGAATGAGCATGTTTGGAGGCGTGGTCTCGCTCCTTAAATTCCAATACATAATCTCCAAAACAAAGCATGGGAGAGCTGCTTTACTGCCAGATAGAGCCTTCTTTTCCATTTCCATTAAAGTGGGGCAGTACAAGTCATCTGAGCACCTGAAAACAAAAGGGAGTGAATAAGGAAACAAGTGGAGAGGAGAGAAAAAGAGTAAGACAAAGCTGAAAACTCTATGTATCCATCCATCCATCCTCTTCCATTTATCCAGTTCAGGGTCACTGGGAGATTGGAGCATATCCCAGATCACCGGTCTGTCACAGGGCTAATGCATGTTGAGAGACACTCATATTCATGCCTGTGGCCGATTTCGAATCTAAAGTACCGTTATGTGATATTTTGTTTGATCAAACATGTTACTGTGGTGACCTGTCCAGAGTGTACCCGACCTCTCCCCTTGTGGGAGGCAGGATAGGCTCCGGCCTCTTCCAGTGGAAGAAAATGGATGGATGGATGTTACTGTGTCAGGCGTGGCAGTAATGCAGCAATTAGTTGCCTCCTCTCAAAAGGACAGTACTGGGTTTGAGTGTAGCGGCTAGGTGATACATCTGTGTGGTGTTTTTATGTTCTCCTGGAGTCTGTGGGTTTCCTCCCGCAATCCAAAGACATGCTTGTTAGATTGGCAGACTGTGCCCAGGGTGTTGCCTCAAATGAAATATATAATGCATTTAGGCTGGATTTAGTTGTCTCCTATTGATTAATCATTTCCATATGAAAACATCTGAAATACAACAGATCACTGGGTTTCATAATAATTGTTTGCCCATGTTTTACTGCACTGTGGAAACAAACATTGTCTTCAAACCTTTATTTCATAAGCAACATATTTTTGAACTATCTTCCTGAAAGGTTGTTTTTTAATAATTAGCTGGTATTTTTTATGTCAATATGTAATAAATTCAGTGTTTTAAAAAGTTTTATGTACTTTGGCTCTAATTAAAAGAATTACGAACTTTCTAGTTGAATTTCAGTTTTTAATGGGGACAAAAAAAAGAGACTTTGTGAAATGGGATGTGTGAAAAATACTCAACAACCAATTTTTTTATTTTGTGCAAAGTGTGTTTCACGTTCTTAGGTATAAGTTGTAGTTTACAGTTAAATCCAAAACATTCAATCAAGAGTAATGCTTGTAGATAAATTAGCAGGAAAATGCAGGGTAAATAAGGCAAAATGTTGTCACGACTTTCTACTAGTATTTCCCAACTGAGTATTTTACCCCCACTGACCCCCTCGTTAATATGTGTCACCATCTCTCTTTCCTAACATGCCCATCCCTCCTCTGCTCTGCAGACTCTCTAACTCTAAACAGTTTGACACTTTGACAGAGCAGACTGTTAGCTGATGTCCAGCTCCGTGCTAATTCACTCACTTTTAAAAACAATGGTTCAAATGACCTGAAAACAGAAACCTCAGCATGTGGTATGGACACGAGGGACTGATTCTGCTAAATGATTAGAACATTAGTCACCGGCGATCGCAGCACTGCGATGCTTTTAGATGTTTATGTTATTCAGACTCTTCAGCAGGGAAATGGCTACACACCAAAACAGAGAAGTGTGACATATTTACCCTGACATAATTCTCTCTTCCTTTGTTCTCCACCCTCTGATTATAATGGGAGAATTTATGATGTCTCAAGCCAAAAATTCCCCATGTGGATGAGTCGGCCAGAAAACAACCAGATGAGTCGACTCTGCAAGCAGGAAGTACTCAAGACTCGATTATTAAGTTCACAATTAGGTGGTTTCTAATGGGAATGGGAATCATTGCCTGTAAAATGTATGCTGTAGATGGAGGGGAACTCGGCACCCATGGAACATTAAGTTTTCTAATGTGTGAATATTTGCAAAACTAAACCTGATCAGGTAGTTTTTATACCTACAGCAAACCAGAGCACTCCACCGGTTTATCTGATCAGTTATCTGAAGTGGAGACACACCCATCTGCGTGTAGAAACCAGGAAAAGATATGATAAATTTTTCTGTGAGGACAGATTATTGTGATAGTTTAGTGCTTCCTCTTTCTCCTAAAACCATAGGATCATGCTTGGCATCAGAGTGTACCCAAAATGTTTTGTGAAGAGCACAGAAAGATAAACAGTGGGGGATATTGTGTTTATACTGTGCTAGTTTGCTTTGCCCATTGGTGGCTGGGTTCTTTTTTCTTTACAGAAAAAAAACATTTTTCCCCAAGTGGATGTGGGAAAAATGCTTCATTTTGTTTTTATTCTCTAACGTCTTTATTCTCTAACATCCAGTTCACCACTCCATCACAGGGAGAACACAAGGAGTCAGACAATCATTCATGCTCACATCCCCAGTATCAGACCACACTGTTTTGGGTTTTGCAGCAGCACAGCACTCATTACATTACTGAAGCTTACAGGAGACAGAGTAGGTTAAACACCCAGCAGCTACGCTTGCTATTTTAGGAATGTCATGAGCTAACAGTGTGTACGCATGTGCACCTCCATCCAGAACAACATAGTTCTTCACCCTGGGGGACATGAGTCATCTCTGACCTCTGACCCCTTCAAAAAGAGCCAGCCAATTGCATTTCAGCTGGAAATGAGCCAGAAGTGTCAACCAGTGTCAGTGATGATCTAAAACCAGACATAAACAGCTTAAGTATTAGCAAATGTTTCAATTTAAATAGAAGATAATTAAATGTTTCAAATCCCTTCACACTATCTTTTTTCTCATCTTGCTGAAGAATCTCTTTCATCTGCTGATTTATCACAACTAACTGCACTAACACAACATTCACAGATTCGTAGGTTTGCTCTCGAGAAGATAAATGATTCTTTGTGGTTCTTGTTTACTTGGAAATTGGGTGAAAATCCCTGAGGAGCATTCAAAGTAATTTAAAGCGCTCCTCTAATTATCACGGATTATATCTGAGCCAGAGACTGTTGGGAGTTAGCAGAGGGCGGGGAAAATGATGGAAATATATATTTCTATATAAGAAAGACAATTAGAAATAAAA